GCCCTTCTCTTCAACCAACCATGCACGCACTCATTCATTCATTCATTCAATAATCATGTACCAGGGGCCTTTTGAGGGCGTAGGGGAAGACGAGGGCCCTAATATAAGATGACAGGAGATTTGACTTCGGGTGGTGGGCACAGGGTGCAATATACAGATCTTGTAACATAGAAACCCATGCATGAAACCTATATGTTCATGTTGACCAGTCACCCCAATCAATTTAATAAATTAAATTTTTAAAAGGGCCTTTTGTGTGCCAGGTACAATACGAAGCACTTGAGAAAGAAGGAAGTTTTAAAGGAAAATAAGTTAATAGGATAGAGTTATCACTTTAAAGGGAACAGGAAGCCAGGCTGAAGATATGTGCCCACAGGAAGAGAAGTCAGTCACAGCCTTTACAAAGAGTAGCAATGAAAGGTTCTCTTGAGTTCCCTGGCAGAGAACAATCGCATGACTTAACTAAGCTCACACGCCACTGAAGCCGCCTGTAACCTGGGCACCTTCCGACGCCCTGAGCCTAGCACAGTGAACTCAAGAACTCAAGCTTGGGAAGGAAACACACCCGGAATTAAACCCTGGATTTACCTTTAATTAGCTTAGAACTAAACCCAAGTTTTCTCATGTGAATAAAAATAGGACTAAAAAATACTCATGGGAAAATGAGGTTATTAAGATTAGAATATGTGCCCTGGTTTCCATTTTCAACAAAATGGAGTAACAGGGACCAGATTTTCTCTTCTCACTTGGAACAACTGAAATCCAAGACAAAGCAGACGAAACTATGGTTTTCAAGACATTGGACGTCGGACAATAAAGGACAAAGAGCCCTGAGAGAGGAGGCCAGTGGGGAGAGCCTGTGACTGACCAGCTCGCTGCCCTAAGGGAGCTTCCTGGTCAACAATGAGCGGAAGACACGCAGGTAGGAGTCCAGACAGATCAAGTCACCTGGGTTTGCAGGCCGAGGTCCCCTCCCGTACTCAGGGGGGGACTGTAAGGATTAGAGGAAGTTATCCCAAGGCCTCCCACAGTCAGGACAGTTCTTTCATCCTGAGAGGACAACCACATGGTTCCTGGGGCACTGGGTGGAGCACTCAGAATTCTTCCTAGGTAGTGGGACAAAATTAACCTTCCACTTAGCACTGCCCCATGTTTCTGGCTGAACTAAAGGTATCTGGAGGGGGCATGTGGCCCAGAGGCCACCCCATCTCTGGTTCTGTGGACTGAGCAGCACCTTTAAGTCCGTGTGTGCATTTCCTGGAGCTACTGAAACAAATATTACTGTAAATAAGGTGGCTTATAGCAACAGAAATTGCTTCTCTCACAATGATGGAGGCCAGGAATCCTCAGTCAAGGTCCTGTCTTTGGATTTAGGGCTGCCTTAATCCAGGATGATTTTATCTTGGGCTCCTTAATTACACCTGCAAAGATCCTTTTTTCCCCCCCAAGTCAAGTCACATTTACAGATTCCAGGGGTTAAGACGTAGATATTTCTTTGGGGTGGAGGTGCTACTTTTCAACTATTTTACAGGCAGGCTTGCATTACTAATATGTATATGTGTATGTGTATGTGTATGTGTATCCATTATTTCCATCAAAAATCATTTTTGCCAACCTTTCCTGTGACGACTGTTTACGACGCTAGAAATGACTTAGATCTTTACAGAAAGCTTGACCTGCCACCCCAGGCCCAGAGGCACATGTGTTATATTTTTATTTCTTATATGCTTCCTTGATTAAAGCTCCTTCAAACCCCATGAGCATTATCCCATTGCTTTATTTCCTGCCATTGTTTCTAAAATGAGGGACATGGGGCAAAAGGGTCTGTGCCTCCACACTGTGCTCCACCATCAGGGACCTCCTTCCCTAGAGAAAATCGTTCTCTCCACACCCATGGGAAGGACAAAAGGGTGGTAGGGAATGAGAGGACTGGATAGAGTATTGAGTGAAGAGGGAGAAAATAGGCAAAGAGAAAAAAGCAGGAAATACAGTTCAGGTGAAACAGCCTCTTGAAAGAAGACCCTTTCCCATCGGGAATTTTCCAGATGCCCCAGAACTTAAACGTGGTTTCTAGTGCCCTCTACTGGGAAGCATGGGAACCAGCTCAGACCTGAGCTAGAAAAACAACCTGGGTCCAGGCCTTCAATCACTGTAAGGGGGCAGGTTTTACTGAGACTGGCCACCTTCCTGTCTGTTCTAAGGAGGAGCTGAGATGACTTAGCAAACGCCTGACCCTGCACCCGTTCCTCACACTCTTAGCACATGTGGTTCCGTAACTCATCCATGTGCTGCAATTCGCCTCCCAAGCTCGGCAGTAACATCAGGGGGCCTGGCCCATTCCTCTTTCTATTCTCAGCACGGAGCATGGAGTCTGGCACAGAGCAGTCTCTCAAAAAAAAAAAAAATCCAATTGAATATAAAAAAGAAAAACCCAATGTGAGACTTCTACTTCTTATCAGCAGTTACTGTTAGCAAATTTATAGAAACCAAATGGCAATACAAGGCCCAGGACGGTAACTGGATGACCTAGGGTTTACTGGGCTACAGTCCTCAGAGGTATACCGAGGCCCTTACAGTGGGAGCGGGGCTGCATGCTCCATAGAGGAAGTCACCAGTGCAGCTAGCTGACCCCTCACCTACCGTCCTCCACCCAGAGGGCAAGGAGCTGGGGTGCATGTGAGTGGATAGGTGCGTGAATAAAATGTGCCCGTTGGTCTCTGACCCCAGTTCCTGGCCCAGAGCTCCTAAACTTCTCTGATTTCTTGGGTGAGAAGAGAGCATCCTTTGCTTTAATGAGGTTCATGGTGGGGTCCCAGATGGGAGCAAGTACCCAGAAAGGCCAAGCCATGGTTACACGCTGGGAGCCTTCAGCCCCAGGCCCCACCCTCTGGGAAAGGGAAGGGCTGGAAATTGAGTTATTAATCCATCATGCCTACACTGTGAAGCCTCCATAAGAATTTCAAGAGTACAGGGTTCTGAGAGCTTTCGGGTGGGTGAACACAAGGTGCTGGGAGGGTGGCGTGCCCACAGAGGGCAGGAAGCTCCCAGCCCTTATGCACACCTAGCCCTGGGCATCTCTGTCATCTGGCTGTTCCTGAGTTGTGTCCTTGTATAATAAACTGGTGATCTGGGTAAACTGTTTTTTTCCCTGAGTTCTGTGAGCTGCTCTAGCAAATTATCAAACCTGAGAAGGGTGCCTATGGGGAATCCACTCTGTTCAGAGTTGAGATCATTCCTACAGAACCGACAGAAGGATAGAGCAAAGGCAAACCAGCAATCACAGTGGACTGACCACAGCAAATTATCAAACCTGAGAAGGGTGCCTATGGGGAACCCACTCTGTTCACAGTGTGCTGGCACAGAGTTGAGATCATTCCTACCGAACCGACAAAAGGATAGAGCAAAGGCAAACCAGCAATCACAGCGGACTGACTATACTGTGCTCCATCATCGGGGACCTCCTTCCCTAGAGAAAATCGTTCTCTCCATACCCAAGGGAAGGACAAAAGGATGGTAGGGAATGAGAGGACTGGATAGAGTATTGGGTGAAGAGAGAAAAAAA